GTGATTTTAAAGCCATTGAATGTCAAGCAGTTGATGGTTAGATTCTCTGTTGTTACACATGGACATTGCCTGTAACTCATGTGAAGCAAGTGTTACTGGAAATGGACCAGGCCTTGCTGCATTTGGACATGGACTGCTTCGTTATCTGAGAAGTCATGAATGATGCTGAAATTTGTCCAGACATGAATGGACATCCCCATTTCTGACTTTATAATGGAATGAGGGTCATTGATTCAGCAGCTGAAGATTGCTGGGTCTGAGGAACTCCTGCAACAATGCCCTGTGATTGAGATGACTGACATCCAACAACCACAAACATCATTTTTTGTGCTAGGTGTGAGTCCAACCACACAGAGTTTTCATCTTGATTCCCATTGACTCTAGCTAGGGCTAGGGCTTCTTGGTACCACACTCATAAAATGTAGCCTTGATATCAAGTGCAAACAGTCTCACCCTCCCACGAAGGTTCAGCTCTTTTGTCCATATTTGAACCAAAGCTGAAACGAGGTGAGGAACTGAATGGTCCTGGCAAACACTATACTTAATATGAATGAACAGGTTACTGCTGAGCAAGTGCTGCTTGGCAGCATATTGGTGATCCTTCCATCAGTTTACTGACTATTGAGAGTGAAGTGATGGGGCTAAAGTTGGCCAGGGTTGGATCTGGTCTGCTTTTTGTATACAGGACATACCAGCTGACAACGTTCCACATTATTGGATAAATACCAGTTTTTTAGCTTTACTAGAAAAACTTGGCTAGGGATACAGCAAGTTATGGATGGAGAGCATCACTACACTCATGCTTCTCCATATAGATTATTATAGGATTTTTTAAAAAATCATTTTTGGCCAGCAGGTGCAAACGTTTGGTCTCTAATTCACTGCGAGGATACAGAGACTTGTACACAGCTTGCATCTGCTGAGGGTGGCCTTGTTTACTTTAATATATTACCAAATGGAATAACTGGGGAGAGGTTTAACCCCAAGAAATGGGAGGATTTGAGTCACAGAGTCCAGCAGAGATGGGAGGGGCTGGTTAAAGTGTTAAAAATCTGAATCTCACTTCTAGCTCTAACAGAGGCTGGTCAGAAGATAACCAGGAACAGGAGTCAGGAACAAAAATAGAAAGTGCTGAAGAAACTCAGCAGGGCTGGCAGCATCCATGGACAGAAAAAGAGAGGTTAGTACCAAGAGTCCAATATGACTCTTCTGAGCTGAAAGCTTTAGAAAAGTGTTGTTTTGCATATTTTTGACAGAGGTGGAGGGCAAAAATGGCATAGAGGTCTAGTGCAAAGCAAAAGACAGACGATTGCCAATTATGGTCGGGGGGGGTGATTGGGGAAAGAGCGCACGAGAAATGGGGGAGTGATGTCATGAGATCAGGCTCTGAAGTTGTGGAATTCAAATCGCATCCTAGAGGCTGTAAAGTGTTTCCATCAATCTTAACACTCCTCAATCTTCCATGACACCTTCCCGTGCTATCACAGAAGCTGTAACAATTGTCCATTCACTTCCGCCCTCCTCACTGCCCCAGGTTCCAAGCACACACTTCAGGTGAAGCAGCATGTTACTTATACTTCTTTCAGTCTTTTACATTGGCAAGACCAAAAGCAGACTGTGTGATCACTTTGTCTGTAGAAACTGACGTAGTTGCTGGTCATTTTAATAAACTATCTCGCACTTGTGCTGACATTTTTGTCCTGGGCCTGTTGCACTGTGCCAAAGTACAACACGCGCTCGAGAAACAACATCTCATTTCTCACTTAAGCTCTTTACAGCTTCTGCATCTTTCCACTTGGATCTGCCTGGCCAACAATTCGTCATCAAAAAGCCTAATGACAAGGTAGTTAAAATTTCTCTGATATTTCAGCTCTTTCCATATGTCTAACATAAAAGTAAAACCACGACAAAGTGAGCCTTTTAGTTTGCAAAGTATTTTAGGCTAAACTATTCATTAATCATTTTGACATACCACAATACAACTTGTATTTTGAGAGGAATCTAAGAATTATAAAATACAGATTAATAATCACACAGCCATTAAATGATAGATTAATACTTGAGGTGGGAGTGAATTACAGATTGGAATCTAATGGAGACATTTGGAGTAGTTTATATATAGAATAACAGAAGGTACTGTTAGTAAATTTGCAGATGACACCAAAATTGGTGGTGTAGTGGACAGTGAAGAAGGTTACCTCAGAGTACAACGGGGCCTTGATCAGATGGGCAGGTGGGCCGAGGAGTGCCAGATAGAGTTTAATTTAGATAAATATGAGGTGCTGCATTTTGGAAAGGCAAATCTGGGCAGGACTCATACACTTAATGGTAAGGACCTGGGGAGTGTTGCTGAGCAAAGAGACCTCGGAGTGCAGGTTTATAGTTCGTTCAAAGTAAACTCACAGGTAGACAGGAAAGTGAAGAAAGCATTTGATATGCTTGCCTTCATTGGTCAGTACATTGAGTATCAGAGTTGGGAGGTCATGTTACAGCTATACAGGACATTGTTTAGGCCACTTTTGGAATACTGCATTTAATTCTGGTCTCCCTGTTATAGGAAGGATGTTTTGAAACTTGATAGGGTTCAGAAAAGACTAACAAAGATGTTGCCATGAGAGGCTGAATAGGCTGGGGCTATTTTCCCCAGAGAGTCAGAGGCTGAGGGGTGACCTTATAGAAGTTTATGAAATCATGAGGGGCATAGATAGGGTGAATAGCCAGGGTCTTTTCCCTCAGGATAATGGAGTGCAAAATTAGAGGGTATGGGTTTAAGGTGAGAAGAGGAAGATTTAAAAAAGACTTAAGGGGCAACTGTTTCACGCAGAGAGTGGAAGCTAGTACATTTACAACATTTAAAAGGCATCTGGATATGTATATGAATAGAAAGGATTTGGAGGGATATGGGTCAAATGGTGGCAAATGGGACTAGATTAATTTAGGATATCTGGTCGGCATGGACGAGTTGGACTGAAGGGTCTGTTTCCACGCTGTACATCTCTAAGACTCTATGACTCCATGTGGAAATTGCTGAAAAAGCTAGCATTTATTGTTCATCCATAACTACTTTGAGAAAGTGGTAGTGAGCTATCTTCTTCAACTGATGCAGTCTCTTCAAGTTGTTGGTATACCGCACAGCAGTTCAGGAGGAAGTTTTGTACTTTAACCCAAAAATGATGGAAGAATGGCAACATAACTCCAAATCATGATAGTGAGAGACTTGGTGGTGCTGCCCTAGTTCTTCCTGGTGCTAGAAATTAATTAGTTTAGATGGTGCTCAAGAACTCTTCTCAAGTTGCTGTAATGCTTCATTATAAACAAGGAGTGAGATGTAAGTTGGAATGTAGATTTGAGGTTACAATAAGATCGGATATGTCCTTATTAAATGACAAAGCAGGTTTGAAGGGCTAAATGGGCTACTTCTGCTTTTTGGTTGTATGTTCAACTTGTACGTGCACTTACGGTATGTGGAGGCAGTGTACTTTCAACAGAGTGAAGGGTGTGCCAATGAATGGAGCTAAAACATGAACCTGGATAGACCCTGCAATCACAACCCTCAGAACATTTGTCCCTTTCACTTGATCATTGCACCAAACTTTACTGTACTGCATTTTCATATTTGCACTTACCATTACCTCACTCAATCCACATCTCACATTTTACAGATATATCTCACTCATATTTCATATCAGCTCTCCACCAAGATAAGCTCATGCTTCGAAACTGTTACCAACACATGACTTCTTTCTTGCGGAAGGAACCTGCACACAACTCCACATGCAGGTTGGCCCCACTGAAGTTCATTTGCACCCCCGCTGGCTCTTCAAAGAAAATATGCTAGCTATCATGGATTGGAGCACAGTCAAGGCAGTTGCAACCAGCAATATCAGAGAAGACCTTGCACAGGCTTTTGAAGAAGACTCAAAGGCATCGGCCAAGAAACACGAGGCACAGTGAGGCAACGTCCCAGAAATTTTCCATACAATATCGTAGATGGAGGAGGAGTCCAAGTCCAAGTTGCTGCAAAACTACAGTGTAGTGTACAGTTGTCAGTGTTTCAGATGGCTACTATAGCAGCTCTTTTGGCTGCCGGGAAAAGTTACACAGATGAGTAGATCAGTACCCTCCTCATCCCTTTTGTGGCAGTTATTCCTGCTCTCTGAAATCTTCCTGCTGGCTTTACTCGTGTCCTCTTGCTCCAAAAGCAATTCAACAAGATCATCTATGATTATAGCCGACAAAAGTAACAGCAGCTAAAGTTTGCTCAGCACAAAGAAATACATTTGGAAGAGTGATTAAACACACCAACAAACCGTAATTATCCAAAAGAAAAAGAGAAATCAGCAACTCAGTTGCGAGCATTGTACAACCCAATGAAAGATCGTGAGGTGGCAGTCTGAAGGTTAGCACTACATTGTCCTGCACAAGTGAAACACTTGGGTCATTTGGAAGTTGAAACAGGTCCAGCAAGTGCAGGAGTGTAATTTAAATAAATTATTCCCCTCCTTACATAATCCCAATATGTGGTCCCACCACTACAAATCGACCATAACCAACTGGAGGGGTGGACACTTCCATCTGGAAATGCATACATGCTTCCTGGTTGCCCTATTGGGACCTTAGTAAACTAGATAATTCCAGAAAATGTGCAGTTGGTTCATAAAGTCTGTATGTTCATTTATCTACGTTAACTGAATACGTCCCAACAATAATCTGTGGGGGGAACCACTACTCACATCCCCTCATTCAAAACACAATCAACCACGACCTTCTATTTTCCATGGCTAAAAAAAATTCTTTCAAAACTATAAAACTGTTCTAACTACAATATTAGATTTTTACTGTTCAGAATTTTGGTGTTTAGATTTTACTTACTTGCAGGTCTAAAAACAAACAAATACAAAGTATTGAAACATACATTCCAACAGCCACGATTTAATCCACAAGTCTACATTTTGACTCATGTCAGTTAAGTATTTTAACAAGAATAAAACACAGCTTACCCAAGGTTCGGGACATAACCGGTAATGCAGAACTAAGGACCAATATTGAGACACAATTTCCAATAATCTGTAAGAGGGAAAGAAAAACATGAAAACAAACAAATATCAAGTTTATGACTTATAAACCAAGATGAGTATAGTGTTAGATTAGAACAGTAGTATGACAAAAGTAATTTTGAAACTTAAAAGAATTAAAGCTGTTAGAAGTTTGTACATCACATTTGATTTAAAAATTTAGTGAATTATATTTTGGTCTCACTGGATAGAAAATGTCCCCGATTTTGGGAGGAATATTTAGTTTGAGTACCAAACCAGCAAGATGTAGTCAAATGTTACAAAACTGCTGAATTTAACCAAGACTTAAGATTCAACTTTGAAATGAATCAACTTTGTCGATAATCCTGCTTCATGGTCAGCAGTGCAGCTGCCATCCTCCTTCTTAGAAAAATTCAAAAAGGCAATCACAGCAATAGATAAATAATTCCTTCTAAAAACATTACATAGGATTAAAGAACACTTTTGTTGAAAAAAATTCCTATTTAGGGATTTAGTTTGCAATAAGCAGTTACTTGAAGTTTCCCTTCAGACAAAATCCAAGTTTAGTTTGCACTCACATCTTGATTGCATACAACAGTTATCATTACACAGAGAGTACTGGGGATTTTTAAAAATTCTTTTCAACCTGCTTAAATAACAGAAAAAGGATTCTAACAATGTTGCCACAAAAACCATGGTACAGTGATAGTCTTTAAATCTCTAGTTTATATATGCAAAACAGAGATGGCACCATCTGTCTCTAAGCAGTTTTGAAGTTTTAGATCTTCAATCTTAGTGCTATGCTTTGAAGAACAAGTTTCTGTAGACACTCTAAATAAACTGAATTCTATGGCTTATATGCTAGCATTAGAGGTACAATTAGTTCAATTAAAGTTACTCATTAGCAGATGTTTCCTTTGAAGAAAAGTCCTTTCACTGGATTTCTATAGCTAGTTAACAAGCCTTTCCATCGCAAGCTATTTACAACTGAATGGACACCATCCAAACTAAACAGAGTACATCCTTTTTCTTCACTACCTAGTTTTATGAAAATCTTCCAGTTTGTATTTACGCAGCACACAAACAAATATTGGTCATTGCAAATGAGCCATTAAAGGCAATTACTGAAGAAAACCTGCCAGCTGTCTCGTTACAAGAGGGGCCACATATACATCATCACCTCTGCCCACCATACCTTTGTCATGGTTGTGTCGTCTTTCGTGGGAGTGAGGGCTGCAAAGAACCGGAGGCTATAGAAGCCGACGACAGAGGACACCATCAGATAGCTGTGAGAATTAAGGAAAAGGACCTCTGCAGAGTGAGGAATGCAAGGTTTCATTCATATTCTTAACCATCTCCTTCACTTCCTTAGAGTTGGATACAACAAAGAATTTCTCTCAAGTGTCTGTCATAACAGGTCCAAGCCATCACTACTGTTTTCCTAGACCCAACTCTTAGTAAAATACCACTGTCGCAGAAAACTGTTTATAATACTTGTTAACAGACATGACTGGGAAAAAGGATACAAAATCAGGATGATTTCAATCGCTGCACCAACAAACCCAAATGCAGACAGAGAAGCTTTACCAAGGCCCAGTTCCTGAAAGAGGAGAAAAAAAGCATAAAGTCTCTCTCCCATGAAAACATAAAGTCTCTCTCCCATGAAACAAACCTGGAGATCCAAGCACTGCATTTTTGTCTCACAATGACAAGTTTGCAAAATAAAACATTGTTACTTTCAACAAGAGATTTGTAGACAAACAGAATATGTGATATCAATAAACAATGTTAATAACTTAATCATATCAGGATTCTTAAAAAAATATGAAAATTGCAATATCAGGTCCACCAAAATCTGCAAAGAAACAAATAAGTTAGTTTTTAAGATTGGCAGTGTGTTTGGTCAGTTGTATTTCCTTTTCACTTAATAGATGCAGTCAGGCCTGCTGTAGATTCTGACAGTTTTTCTTTTTGTGTCAGCTTTGTGGAACCTGCAAACTTCCAACGTTTTAATCTCTATATTTTAGGTTTCACATTAAGTTTATCCTTTATTTTACACAAATTAAAGTTATGCTAATGTGACCATAAATCAAGGATCCATCTGTTTTCCTGAAGCGATCATTAAAAATCCCATGGTAGTATTTGAAAAGGGGCGTGGAATTTTTCCACTTTTGTTATCAACCATTTCTGCTTCAAACACCATCAAAAAGGTATTCAATTATTCTGAAGAAGGGTCTAGGCCCGAAACGTCAGCTTTCCTGCTCCTCTGATGCTGCTTGGCCTGCTGTGTTCATCCAGCTCTACACCTTGTTCTCTCATTCAAATATTCTCATTACTTTTGGGATATGGTTGCTGCATTTGCCTACACAACAATCACTGCACATTGCAAAAATTACAATAACACCTTGAGAAATGATAAAGTCCTATGTAAATGCAACTCATTCACTTTTGTTTTTATAAATCAAGTGCTTTAAAACAGAATTCCCATCCCTGCTTCTGCAACTATTAAAAACGCACTTGATACCTGAAGATAAGAAATTGCTTTTTCATTTACAACTTCAATATTTTAAAATATCATGGTGGATAAAAAAACGTTTTTCTAAAAATGGTGTTCCATCCTTAAAAATAAAGCAAATCATGTAGTAGATATGATCTATCAAAAAAAATTATTGAAGCTCTATATTATGAAAAGAGATGCTGTTATGCCTTGCCTGAAAATGGATTGCAGTTTATGTCTTTATGCATAAGCGTCATAAGCAGAAAATGTGCCATCAAATGAGACCCTGTCTGGTTGAGGCCATAACAATGTTATACAGATGTAAAGGCTTACATGCAAACCAGGTGACATTATCATTGAACACTGTTGTGAGTGGTCCAAGCTGTACTGTTATTTACGCTACTGGATAAGTAATCCTGAAAATCTACACTCAAGTTTGCCATGCAGTTAAGAATGCACATTCAATTTCAAGAAATTTACAAATTTAAGCTGTCATACACATAACAGGTCCACTGATGCCCTGGCTGTGGCTACCTCATCTGATCTTTATGTGACTCTAGCACGCCAAATGATTCTTAATTGGAAGCGGCTTACCAAATCACACAGTTGTACTGAAGTTTTATTAGGAATTGAACAAATAGGCAACAGTGATTCAGGATGTATTGCCACAACTTTGCTTCAAAAAGGGCAACTGAAGTGGGCAATAAGTACCATATTTCCAAACACTATTCCCATCTCAAGAATAAAAATTTAAGAAATATACTTCAGTCAACATTTGACATTTTGAAATTAGATGAAAAATCAAGAAGTGAGAAATACATTGTCAAAACTGAATAAGTTCACTACAGTAAATTCCATCCATAATTAGAGGCAAACGTTTTACATATTCCAGGAATTTCCTCAGAGCAAGGAGTAGGATTTTCTCTGGAAATTCAGGCAACTTATCACAGCAGAACAGGAACATGAAAAATTAATAGTTCTGGCCAGAATTTAAAATAACAAACCTCAAAACTTCTAGTTAGTTATTTATTCCATTTGCAAACATTACATCATCATAACAACTGTTTCAAAAGCATGAGGTAGCTACATAATCAAAATCCAACAACATCTGAATCTAATCTGAAACTCTGTCTTTATCTCTCCAAATCCGAACTAAATCACTTGTAGGTAACTATTTAAATAGAGAGCTGCCATTGACAAGCAGCATAGGAAGCTTTTCAGTGGTCCTAGCAAACAAGCAATTTGAGCTAAATGATATGCAACCACAACAAGGCTCTGCAAAAAAGAGCATGGAAATTAGCACTCCTGTACAGAAATCAACAAATACAGCCCAAGTTTTCGCAGGACTTAGTATGGAGCTGTAGATAGATATAAAAACTAAAACAGAGTAAACTGCGATAGAAAAAGGGATAAATACAAGTTATGGTAGTTGAAATAATCATTTTATTTAAATATGTTTTACATAACACTTGTATCATTGCAAACATTTCAGAATTATATAAATTACCAAAAATCATGAGTAGAAAAATAAGTAGAAATTCTTACTTGATCAGAAGTATCTCAGATTCAAATCAATATTTACTTAAATTTAAGGCATGTAGTTTGAATGTTATTTCAAAATGCTAACCATTCCCCTTATTCCACTTCCATTAGAAAATGACTGCCTTCAGTAAAACCTAACCACAGTGAAAACACCATACCTCATGCCAACCTAATGGATCTTATGAACAAAAATCACAATTGGTCTCAGTAGCTTTAGAATGGATTGGATTGATAGATGGGAGGGGAGGGGGAAAATGAAAGAAGAAAGCTGGTTACAGTGGCTTCTTTTCAATATTATTTGCTCATCATTGGTTAGGAATAACTATTGGGAAGCAAGCTTGATGTCTAATTAATAAGGACAGGTCTGGTCTGGCTGTGTTACATTTACACACTACCAATGTTTGAAAACCTCCTGAGCACAGAATAAAATGGTCACTATGCCAAGTTAATGAAGGGACACCACGTCCAGTCACCACCACCATCAAGTGGGGCAAGAAAATTAGGAAAAAGGAGGAATTCTGTACAACAAAAACAAACTACTGCAGATACTGGAAATCCGAAATGAAAAATATCGCTGTTGAACCTCAGCAGGCCCCACTGCATCTGGAGTGAGAAACAGAGTTAACATTTTGAGTCCTATACAGCCACTTCAGAACTGAAAGAAACATGAAAATGATGGTTTTTATGACATTGACTGAGGGGGAGGAGGAGTGAGTGGAACAGATGGTTAGGATGCCCAGAACAAAAGAAAAAGACATTGCTAATGATGGTAAAGGAGAATGACAGATGTAAAATGGGTGCAAATAAAGGCGTGAAAAGGAGAAACTGGATGGGCTTTGCTAGAGAAAAGTCAACACGACACTGCCGAAAGGATGGAGTGTAAGAAAATTGGAGGACCGAGGTCGTACACTCAAGTTATGGAAGTCAATATCGAGTCCCAGAAACTGAAGACATCTCCCCCTCTGTCAACAGAGAAAAACAACCATATTCCAACCTCTTCCAGTTCTGAAAGTCATATTGGACTCAAAATGTTAACTCTGTTTCTCTCTCCACAGATGCTGGCTTTCTCCATTACCTTCTGTGATTAATTCTGTAAAAGTGGGAATTGGCACATTAACATTGTAGGGAGGCTGTGTACATATATGACCCCTTGACTGATGTTGTTGACAGCTCCTGCTCTTGATAGGGCCACCAATGGCAGAGGTGTTCAGACAAAGTGTTGTACAAAAATTTCTCAATGGTAGAAATAGCAAAGGAACACAGGTGGCTACAGTGGAAAATTGAACTGGAATTCAAAAATTCATCATTGAACTATGACCACCATCTTATTAGGATCATGTGGGCAGTGATGGCGCCGAAGGTCTTCATAAGTAACCTTCTATTTGGGTGCAGTCAATAGATATTCTACAGAGCAACTGTTGTCACGACACTTCCATTGATCAGTGACAGTAAGAACACTACAGAAAATTCAATCAGCAATGCCCCTTTTGTATCCTTCAGAAATGGTAAGACGGTGTATAAAACACTCATGTCAATAAAACACATGTCACTGAAGCCAGCACCACAAGTATTCAGGCAAAATTCTTGCAAAATCAAGTTCAATAGACCGAACACAAATGGCCAAAAAGCTTTCTCCACCCATCCAAAATTCCAGGTGAGCGCAAAGAATACACATGAAAGATACTCTGAAGCTCTCCTTGAAGCGTGGAAGCAATGGTAGGAGCAGTTTGTTACCAATCATTCAAAATGGCAACAACTTATCAATCAAGACCTTGAGTAACAAAGTCTTATTGGTGCAGAGAAAGAAAGATAAGAAAGCAAATCTTGCACTCTTAATCCCATTACCGCTTAGTTCATGCTGCCTCATGTGTCAAGAATTGGCCTGTACGGTCACCTGAAGAGCCATAGCAAATGCTTGTGACCATGAATAGATGTCATTCTCAAATCAGGGGATGATTGCCGAACTAGTTTTGCACAGTTTTAAAAACTGCCACAATTACCTTAGGGGAAACAAATCTAGCAGCCAGTACAAGGACATCACACAGTCTGTTTGAAATCTAGTGGACAAAGTTAATACTGTTACAAGTTTGTGTGCATTGACAGCATCATAAGACAACCAACAATGGTTTTCTTTCTTCAAAAAAAATAGTATTGAGATTAAAGGGCATTTTGTTGTAGATAAGAAGTTAATCAACAGGTGAAAGTATTGACTGGTAACTTGCCATAAACAAACTAGTTATTTACTAATTCAGACAAAATAAAGGTATTTACACTGTGCATGACCTTGTACACTTCACAGCAGCAAATTCAATGCGCTTCATGCTGCAACAAACACCAAAGAAGCTGCTTTGATGCTTGTGCACGACTGTGTGAAAGTTCATTATCATGAAACATTTAGCGTTCAATACAATCCATATTTTATCAGCTGCGTTTTTGTATTTCTCCAATCCCTTTCATGTTTGTGTTTCACACTTCAGCACTAAAAACAGCTGAAAATGTTAATCTAGCTTTCTGAAAGCATACACAATTTTGTGTTGAAAATCAGCTCAAAAATAAATTAA